TGTTGCAAGTTAATGAAAATGTTAAAGCGTACCGTTGAAACGGTACTATCGTATGAACAAATTAACAGTGAAATAAAAAAATTTTTAACATACATAACTGTTCGAATGAACGAACAAGAAATATTTCAAAAAAATAAATTTTACTTACTATTATTGGAGATAATAACCTAAAAATATAATCTGACGAATTATTATAAAATTATCAAATTGGAGGAATAACCTGGCGACATGAGGACTTAGTTCCCTGCCATTAGAATACAATCAACTATTAAATTAAAGGTATAACCTGGGGATCTTAGGACTTAGTTCCCTGCCATTTAAATACACTCTGAATAAAATATTCTGACATATAACTAATAATTATTAAATTAGAGGGATAACCTGGTTACTTGTGGACCGCTAAGGTTTCTAACCATTAAAATACATTACACATTTTAAATTGATATAACAACACTTAAGGCCGTTTTCTGAAGTAACCTTTAACTTTAAAGCTCACTTTATATTTAAAGGTTGGATTAAAAATAAAGCTATGTCTATAGTCTAGTAGTCTATGTATTTCTATTATCGGTTTTTGACGTATGTCCCTGCAAAAAACGGCTGACCATATCGAAACAGCGATACACACAAACATCAAATAAAATTTTACTTCAGTGTTTGCTGTGGTGCAAAATAGAGAAGTCGGTGAATTTAAAGAAAAAATTAATAAAAATCAGTGTATTTAAATTGTATATAAAAAAATTAGCAAAAAACCTTTTTTAGAGCTATGTGGATAGAGAAGAAAAATTTTGAGGCCAGTGTGCTTAGGACGACTGTGTTGTCAGTGACTACAGTGCTGAAATACAGTGCAACGCCAACGGGGGACTCCAGGGGCTCTATTATGTAATTGTGAGAAAATGTAGTGTACACCGAGTGCAAAACTCACCGACTAAAATTCAGTGAGTTTTTCGGAAGAAAAGTGTACACAATTTTGACAGTTAAAACTCATTCTCACACATACTGAATCGCAAAATGAGGAAGTGTACACAATTTTGACAGCCAAAAATCATTCTCACTCTTCCTGAATCGCAAAATGAAGAGTGCGCACAATTTTCAGGGTACACTTGAAAACTCACAGTTACAGAATAGAGCCCCAGCAGAACCTAGGAATAGAGGTAGAAAGACCAAACGGTGCTGAGGCATTTGTTTTTAGCTACGAAAATTCAGACCCCGATTTAAAATGAGAGAAATTGTCTGAGCTCAGTAGCTCTGAAAAAGCTTGTGAAATTAAGTTAATATTCGACAATATATTTTTACAAATAAAACAAACACATAAACTAAATCAAATTGTAAGTTTTAATTTGGTTTCATGTATTTTTGAACATTTCGCTGCCATCTATTCACTAATTTATCAATTGCTTAGAGGTTAGGGGTACGGTTTAGTAAGTGGCCCACCTATTTCGGGGTATTGCGTCCAAAGGGGTGACCCGATCCAAAAAAAAATTGCACACACTTGTAGCCAAGGGTCTACCCTTTTTTTTAACATCCACTATTGTAATTTTTGGTCACTAATTTATTTACAAATTGGGTTTGAAATATGCCCTTTTTTGTAAAATTCGGAAAATAGCTCACATTTATCACTCCTATTTTCCTCAAAGCAGCCACTTCACTAATGCATTTTTATATTCCCCTTCACTTTAAACTTTATTCGACTTGTTACAACTTTCTTTATTACTTTAATTTTAATCTATCAATCACAATTTATTAAATAAAAACATCTTCAAAACCAAGCGTTTGCCTTTGGTTGCATATGCACATTAAATGGTGGCGTTTAGCTGTCAAACTGCTAAATATACAAGAAGGATGAGAGACAAAAGAAAATATGATATAACCCAGTCAGCATTAAAAATATAAACCTTTCCATTGAAAATATGTATTTACTGTCCCTGTGGCTCCTTTCGCCGAGGGTTATAATCCCTAAGTGCGGCCGAAGGCCGCCTACGCAGAAAGGTGTTCTATGCAAAAGGTGTTCGGCCCCCTTTCTTTGGCACCACAGAAAGGAGAATTCTACTGCCTGAGGGTTATA